CAGGGAAAAGCAGAGAATGAGTGAGGGGGAGCGTGCGGGCTGGCACCGGTGGGTTTGTCATCATCGGGAGGGGAAGGAGGGGCTGCTGTGCCCTGCCCTGCCTCTCGCCCAGCTCTGCTGGGTTTCTTGTCGCTCTGAGATACAACATGCAGGAGAGAGAGTCAGCCAAGGCGGTTCAGGGATTAATTTGTCCAACCTGACAGCCGTGTGAGGATCTTGAAAGCTTGAGGCCCGAGTGAAACTCTGGAAGGAGTGCTGGGACAGGTCTGCTTTGGGAAACCGTCCCTGCCAGGCTCTGTAGAAGCTCGGTGCGGGGCAGTTCGAAGGGAGCTGAGCCCAGCATGGGCTGGTGGAAGCAAAGTCAGGCTGGTCCTGTTCGCTTGCCCGTTGTGCACAGCAACACTGTGGTTTTTCACCAGTTTCGTGGCACTTCCCCAGCTGAGTGGAGCTCACTGAAACTGCAGTGTTTGGAAGCTGGGGGTGAGTGCGCTGGATTTTGTGGCCAGGCCACCTTGACAGCCCAGGGGGCTTCGTCTGTTCTGGGCTGCGATGAGGAGCAGGGGAAGGGACCGGACCTCTTCTAAATGCCCTCTGAATGGCTCTTGTTTTGCCCCCAGAGAGGAAGCGGTTTTACCAGAACGTGAGCATCTCTCAAGGAGAAGGTGAGTACGGACGCCAGGACGGGATGAAGGGGCTGGTTCCCGGGAGGGGGGTTATCAGCCCACGCCGCTTCAGCGAGAGCATGGCACACCCACAACCCGGGCTGTGTGAGTCGGGGGTTTGTCACCAGCCTGCTGTGCCCCTTCCTCATCTATAGTGAAGCTTTGTGGCAGGAAACAGCTTCCAAGACTGTTTGGGGAGAGTATGTCCAGCTGATGGGGGGGGGAATTTGAGTTCTGAATCTGCTCCCGCCGTGGGGTTGTCTGTTGTTCCTTAGTGCCCACTCCTCTTTGATTCCCCAGGATTTCTACTCTGATTCCCCAGGAGGCTTTGAAATAAACCTGGACCACCGAAAGCTGAAAACACCCCAGGCCAAGCTCTTCAATGTCCCCAGTGAGGCCTTGGCCATTGCGGTGGCAACAGAGTGGGACTCCCAGAAAGACACCATCCAGTTCTACACCATGCACCTGGTGAGCACGGCCGCTCGCGTCACCCAGACCTCGGCGGGGCAGAACGCGTGGTGCCGGGAGCAGTCAGGTCGTGGAAGTCAGGATTAAAGACAGGGAACTGAAATGCTAGGGGTTGAAGATGGCTTTGCCAGGCCACTGCCAGCTGGATGGATTCCAGAGCAAGGGTTGAGAACCGCTTTGGGGTGCGTGAGATGGGGGCATCTTCTGAGAAGGCTTCCTTCGGCGTCCTGCCTCCCCCAGCTCTCCTGAGGGCTTGTGGTAGAATTGGCACAGCTCGGCCTAAAGTGGGGGTGACTGTGCAGGCATGAGAACGGTCTCCAAACACAGAACATGGAGAGAGCAGGTTGTCCTAATGCCCATGGAAACAGGGACAAGAGGTTGGGACTTTGGCTGGGCACTGGGAGAACCTTGTGGTTGTGAGGGCGGTTAGATGCTGGCTGGGTGACTGTCGAGGGGGGAATGTGTGTCACTGGGGCACTGGAGAAGGAGCTGGGCAGTGTTACTGGGGATAGCAAGGGGCAGGAGGAAATGGGATGAGCTCTGGGGCAGTCCATGAGGCCTCTTGCGTGGTGTTTGATGGGCCTGCTCCAAAGGCTGCTGCAGCCAGTGAGAAGATTCCTATTACGCGAGCTGTGTTCTGGCCCTGCACCCTTTTTAGCTGTGCTCCTCGGTTCTCTTTCTGGTACAAATTCCTCTGCTGCTTCTTGGCCTTGTAGAGTGGAAGCTGCTGCTTCCCCAAGCCTTGAGTAACAGTGGTTTAAACTGCCTTTATCCTGCAGACCACGCTGTGCAACACGGCGCTGGATAATCCCACGCAGCGAAACAAAGCGCAGCTGATCCGCGCGGCTGTGAAGTTCCTGGAGACTGACACTGTCTGGTACGAGGTGGGGGCCCCGCTGGCGCGGAGGCGAGCTCGCGTGGGTTTTTGGAAGGGTGGTTGGGGGAACTGAGGGAAAACGTCTGCTGTCACCCGGTCACGGCAGGGCTCTGATGTGTCCTGGTTTGGGCCCAGGGGTTTGGATTAGTTGAGGCGAGTCCTGCGTCTGCAAACCTGTGTACCTGAAAGGCGTGGGTGTGAGGGAGAGCGGGGGTCCTGTCCTCTGCTGAGCTCTGGTTTGGACACCTCCATGCTGGGCAAGGGTGGCAGCAAGAAATGAAGATTTCCTTGGGGAAAAGAAAACATCTTTGAAAGGCTTGGGGGAATCTTGTCAGCCCAGTCCTCCTGTGCTCTGTAAAGGTACAAGAAGCTCAGGTTACTTGTATTGGTAGCAAAGTGCCTTTTGTTCCTTAAAGCCCCCGTGGGTTGCAAGATCAAGCCTGTTAATGCTCGGGGCGGGCGGCTTCCTTCCCAGAGGTGTGCCCCCAGCCTGGCAGGGAGCAGTCTGGCAGCCTGGGAGTGAACATCCAGTCTGGTTTTGTTCTGCAATGTCCCAGCTATCGTGTGGAGGAGCCGGCTGCCTTGGCAGAGCTGCAGAAGAACGAATGGGATCCCATTGTCGCCTGGGCTGAGAAAAGGTAAGGGGTCAAAGGTATTTCTGTCTGGTTATGCCCTGCCCTGCCCTGCTGAGGCCAGGAGCTCTAGGGTTTGTGACTGTTGGGGCTGCAAGGTCCACGAGCCCTGTGCCTTTCTAAGCGGCCGGATGGGGACCATCCAGTCTGGTTTTGTTCTGCAATGTCCCAGCTATCGTGTGGAGGAGCCGGCTGCCTTGGCAGAGCTGCAGAAGAACGAATGGGATCCCATTGTCGCCTGGGCTGAGAAAAGGTAAGGGGTCAAAGGTATTTCTGTCTGGTTATGCCCTGCCCTGCCCTGCTGAGGCCAGGAGCTCTAGGGTTTGTGACTGTTGGGGCTGCAAGGTCCACGAGCCCTGTGCCTTTCTAAGGGGCCGGGTGATCGTTCCAGGTACAACGTGGCGATCGGCTCCTCGACCAGCATCCTGGGACCAAACATCCCAGCCAGCACCAAGGAGACCTTCGTCAGCCATCTGGCGTCCTACAACATGTGGGCCCTGCAAGGTGAGAGCGGCTGGGGCAGGGGAGGGGGCGGTTCCTCCCCACGGGGTGGGGGAGAGTGACTGCAATGTTTTTCCCCTCCTGCTGACACGCTGAGATAATCAGGCTGTTGAGGTTTATGTTTTAAAACTCCAGGCCAGTCTCCTGGCTGTATTTGTTATGGGTAGGGACTCTCCTCTTAGTGCCGCTAGTGTTCAGGGTCTGACTGTGCTGGCCTGCGAGCCGTCTGCTCTACCCTAGCACAAATAACTTCTTTAATGCCAAACTTTCTAGTGACGTAGTCCCCAGCTTTGTTGCCAGGAAAAGAAATGGGGTTTAGTAGTCTGGGTGTCCGTGGCTCTGTGCGCTGCCCTCACTCTTTCACCCGTATAGCCCACTTGATCTTACCTGATACTGCTGAATGACACCTAAAGATAAAGAAATTGAGTAATGTTTGCTTTGACCAAGTCCTCAAATGCCTGACTTGAATGAGCAGCAGACAGTGAAACCCTCGGGAGATGCTAGCTGAGCAGCTGAGGAAAGCTATCGGGGACAGGATTCCTGGGACGGGGCTTGCGGAACCTTCCCATTGAATGAATCATTTCTTTTCCTCACAGTTTGTCATGGGGGTTGGTGGGATGGAAGGGAAGAGCACATGCCTCCCTGGGAAAGGGGAGCCTCTGGGCAGCTGGTCGACTTCAGACCTGAAATTCAAGGTCTGGCCTAGACTGGTAGCGCAGGACGAGTCTGACTTCAGTTCCTTCCTTAGACCCTGTCCACGCGTGGGCGCCTCAATTTCCTATCAGCTTGAGCTGAACCACGAGCAGCTCCGAGTTCTGAGCCCTTCATTCCTCGTCCTCCCGGCCGTGCGTGTCTGTGGGATTTGCTCAGGTCCCTCAGCCATCAGACACCCGCTCCCCTCCCCTGAAGAGGGCTGTCTTGCAAGCCAGTAGCAGGTGGTGTGGCAGGAAAGAGCTCTGCAGTTTCATCAGCCGTGTCCTTTGCCGACACAGTTCTCCCAGGGCACAGCACACCGCCCACGTTTGCGCAGTGTTCTTCTGTGCGTGGTTAGAGATGCGGACAGCTGTTAGCACCAAACACTATAGGAGTCCCTCTCACCCTGGACTTTCAGTTGAGCTCCGGAATACTCGGGCCTGGACAGGCATCCCTTGCCTTTGCCCAGGGCAGGTTTGTGACAGTGACAGCAGGCGGTTTCCAAGGCATAGCCTTTGTCACTGCAGTGACAGTGGCCAGAACAGCGCTTTGTGTCTGCTGGGAACTGCAGATCTGACGCTTCAGTGCCCAGATACAAGTGGGAGGTACCACACCCCGCTGTCCTTGAGGAGGTACCACACCCTGACTGTCTCTTCAGAGCGTGTGAAGATGCCGCCATAATGCTGCAGAAAACAACCACGAGTCTTGTTTGGTTTGGGTTGTTGTCTTCCAGGTATAGAATATGTAATCACCCAGCTGAAATCTCTGATTCTGTCCATGGGGCTGATTGACAGGCACATTACAGTAGAGAAAGCCGTGCTTCTGTCTCGCCTGGAGGAAGAATACCAGGTAAATGATGTTACAGAACAGCCCTATAATTCAAATGGCAATAATCTCAGCATGACAAATGCGTCTCCCACCACAAATAACTGGCAGTGGAAGCGCCTGCTGTTGCGGGAGAGGTTCCACTCCACCAGTCTCCCCGTTTGAGAGAATTTGGAGTGTGCTGCTATAGAGCAACATGATGGGCGCAGCAGCCTGGAGTGCTCCCGGAGCTGCCAGTTGTGTTTTTCAGACCCCAGATGGCTGCTTTTCTCCCTCTCTAATCTGAAGTGCAGAGTCGGGGCTGGCTTCTCTTGCTCCAGGTTATCCAGCCTGGCGGCCTTGGTAGACACCAAGCTAACAACTTGCTGGAAGCTGGGCTGGCATGAAGCTCTCGCTGACCCAAAAGCGGCTGAAGTTGATGGGAATCTTTTCACCCTCCCTTTAAGGGGCTTTGCCTGAGACCCCGGTGCAGATGAAGCACGTCCTTCCACCAAACTCATCTGGAGATCTCCCTGCTCCTGTAGTCGGTGATCAGCACAGCTCCTGGGGGGTTACCCGTGTTTCAGAAACGTGCAAAGGGAGGCTGAGAGCTGCTTAGCAGCTCTGCGTGTAATCCAGTTCTGAACTGACTCGCATTCCTCTTCTCCTTCAGATTCAGCGGTGGGGCAACGTGGAGTGGGCCCACGACTACGATCTGTGCGAGCTGCGTGCTCGCGCGGCAGCTGGGACTCTCTTTGTTCACCTCTGTTCGGAGAGCTCGACGGTAAAACACAAGCTGCTGCAGGACTGAGGCTGCTGGGCCAGGCGCGGGAGGAGAATACCCAGCTGTGGC